ATCACAGGAGGAGGTGGTGGACGGTAAACGTATAGGGTGAGTTGGCGGAGTTGGTAGTGGCTGAAAATGTTGGCGGAAAGTGGGATCCGCTTGGTGGATGTGGTGGAGAAAGTGAGTGTGGAGGTGTGCTACAATATCTGTTGCTTGTCTGAGCAGGTTTTGGACCTGCGAAAGTGCCACAGCGGTCTGATGCAAGAGAGTTTGGGTGTCATTGTGTGGAGGTGTCAGTGTGCTGCTCATGACGTGGAGATGGAGGGATGTACAGTCACACAGGGTCGTCACAGGTTGCTGCGGCAGCGCGCCAAGGCAGCAGGACGGCAGCTGGTCAGCAGGAGCACGTCATCACGGGGCCGTGCATATGAATTAAACGAGCATCAAATTCCCGCGGGCGTGGTGCGAAAAATGCTGGTCCGACTGGAAGATCAAGTGCAGAAAACTCCAAATGTGAAGAAAACTTCATCCAAACAGCAAGTGAAATTCGGAAAGAGATTCTGCAAAACGAAACCCTCAGAGCTTGAAAAGTTGAAAGCACAAAGTCCGCATGGCCGCTGTAAAGGGCTTTTGCTGCTATAGGCGAAGGTTTGTGCGGCGATGTGAGACAAAAGGTGGAGGTAGAGGTGGTAGTAGTGTGGAGGTGTTGGGCGGTGGTGTTACATGTCGGGTGGAGTGGAGTCAGTGGACCAGGCCAGTCCTTTGACGATGGCGTGGTCTGGGTGGATCACCCAGCAGCGGCCCTTCTGGTGGAAGACGGCGCCGTGGTAATCGTTGAGGAGGTTCATGGCATGTTCTTCCCCTCCGGAGGTGTATTTTGTGGCGGCACCCCAAGCAAGGAGTGTGATGATGAGGGAGTGGGAGTTCTTGTGGAGTTGCCAGGTGTTGTGGATGATGCGAGCAAATTCGCTCTGATCATGGGGTTGATTGTGGGTGATGCGGACACCCTGGGCAAAAAAGTCAGGGTAGTTGGCAAAGTGAAGTGTGCTGGGTAAAAATCGACCTTGGCGTAGAATGTTGGCAATGTTGCCGACCGGGCCTGTGTGGCCGGCGTTGATGTGGGCGACTTCCCGGTGGGTTGATGTGGCTCGGGAAACCGCGGGTGGTTCAGGTGTGGTGGCCTTTGTGTTGAGGAAAGGAAGTGAGATGGCGTAGTATTGGAATTGGTCATATTGGCGAGTGGTGTCGTTCCACTTGGCGTGGGTATATTGCCGGAAATCGGTGATCTCCTTGTAGGTGATGTTGCAGTCGGTGAGGAGATTGGCAATGTACTGGTGCTGTGGTCGGTTGGGGGCGTCGAGTTGGTTGGCGTGGAATTCAAACCATTCTAGGAGTTGGTCTGCAGGTGAAAAAGTGTGAAAGTTGGGTGGAGGTCGCCAACGGTTGATTGGGCGACGAAGGACTGCTGTGGTGGGATATTGAGAGGGGTCGGTGTTGGTGTGTTCAGTGTTGGGGCGTAAGTCGATGGGTTGTGGTGAGCGGCTGCGGGATGGTGTAAGGCTGTATGTGTAAGTGGATGTTGAGGGTGAACGGCGTCGCCGGGTTGTGCTGTGGTGCCTTGAGTGGCGGTGATGTCGATGCCGGCGGCGGTGGTGGTGGCGTCCTCGGTGGTGATGATCGGACTTGCGCCGGCTCTTGTGGTGGTGGCGGCGACTGCTGTGTGGTGGCTGTGGGGAAGGTGGTGGTGGTGCCGGTGAGGCGGTGCTGTCGGGCTTGTCTGTTGCAGGTAGTGAAGGCACAGGAGCTGGTGGTGCTGATGCAATGGATGGTGATTCGGAAGGTTGGGAGCCAGTGGCTGGAGGGGTCACGTTTTGGACCGGTATTGAAGGGTCCGTGGCTGTTGTGGTGACGTGTTGGACCAGTGGTGTGGGGTCCGATGGTGCCTGTTGTGGGAGTGAGGGCTGAACTGGTGGTGGGGCGCCGATGGCTTGTGGGGGGGGCGGCGGAGGCAACGGTTGGGGTGGAGGCTGTGTGACTGGGGGAAAGACTGAGTAAGGTTGCCAAACTCCCTGGGGGATGGCGCATTGTGGGTCGGTGGATGGATGATGGGCAACTGCTGCTTGTTGTGGTGTTGGAAGGGGTTGTGTCTGTGTAGTGGGGGTAGGTTCAGCAGGTGGTGTGGGATGTAGTTGTGGCAAAATGTATGAGGGGGAAGGTGCTGCGGATGGAAACACTGGAGTTGGGTGTGTGGGTTGCGGTGGCAGTTGAGATGGTTGCACAAACGTCCAGGTGGAAGGAGTGCCGTAGGTTATTGCAGTGGCGGTTGGACTGGGCAAAAAAGGTGGTGCTTGAAATGGTTGTGGTTGTGGGTGAGGGTATGCCGATGGTTGTGGCGAGGGAAAGGTGGGTGCAGTTGGCGGCTGTGGCAGCGGCCATGTGGGTTGAGGTTGTGTGGTAGGTAATGGTGGTGGTGTAGCGTGAGCATATGGCCATGGAAAATGCATATCGTAGTCGTCGCTATGGCACGGCGCGGCGCAGCAGCAAGGATGCGGCGGAAAAGTGCCGAGTTGTACTGTCATAATGTTGTTGAAAATCTCATCGCTCGTGTTGACGGGGAGTGTGTTGTAGGGTGGTGCTGGATGTGAGCTTGTTGTCAAGTGTGATCATGCATCTCGAATTAGATTGGAGAACTCCAATGCACAAGCTTGAGTTCTGCTGATAAAGAGGTCACGGCATTAATATAAGATGGCAACATGTGGAAAAACAAGCATGAGAGATCCGAAATCTGATGTATTCGAAAGGGACCGTTTTTGGGCCCGGCGGCCATTGTATCGGTTGATTCGGTGAGGGTGTCGGTGACTGCCTGTGAGGGTCCAATGAGTGGTGGTGCTTTGGGGTGGTTGCTTTCCGATGTAAAACCGCGCCCCTTTGACGGGGATCACACTCAGCACCCGAGTGGGACGGCTGAGCGAGACACACTCTGACACTGGTTTTCAGTTAACTCAATTACTCCGATGGGAAGGAAGGCGAGGGAACGGCAAGGTAGCAAAGTCCGCTGAAAAGTATTGTTCAACATTGTTCACAAGTGCACTCACACGTTCAAATGCGGCTGCAAAACGATCAAACGCGGCTGCACGTCTGCGGCAGGAAAAGGTTTGGGGGTGGAAACGTGAAGAACCATGAATCAAAAACGTGGAGAGTGGAGTCACAGCTTGATAGAACGGCAGGTACGCAGGGCTGATCAGGCCCTGCTTCCCACTCTCGCCCATAGCTTCGTTGCGTGTGGTAGGGCGAGAGTGCCACACGCCCCTGCCTGTAAGGAGTGGTGGTGGAAAACCCTTTGTCCAGGGGTGGACACACACACACACACACACCATCGACGGAGTGGAACAAATGGACACGGAAAACAGGAGTGGTGCCCTGTCACCACCGTAAGGCCCCCGACACTGGGACTCCGCCTTGTAGCAGCTCCTTGGCCTGATGGGATGACAAAAGCCATGAAAACCGCTTTTTGGAACATCGAATTAAACATGAAGAGCTGGAGGGGCTTCAACCCCCAGTTCAGATCATCCCCTCCCCACACTTCCAAGCGATTGGACAATGTGTTTGTCGCTTCAAGTTTTTTGTCGTAACATCACGTTGTGCGGTTGGATCATCTTTCCTTTCCACAAACTGGAGACTTTTGGCACGAGACATTGTAAAACATTTGCCATGCAAAGATGGCGCCATCTCTGTGGGCAGAACTATACCTCACAGACTTCGCAGCAAAATCTCCATGGACCCTGATTCGGGGTGTACAAGTAGCCTGTTAGAGGTTCAAATCGGGGTGTCCATGAACCAGCCCAAGCAGGCGGCCCTAAACATGATACGGGGGAAAAACCCAAACCGCGTATCATGCGCAGCGGACATCCGCCACTGAGTGAGCCCACTGGCGGAAATCCCCCACGACAGGTGCCCGCGCCGTGCATACGTCCATGAGCTGAGCAGGAGTGAAGCCTGCCTGAAGTCGGCAAAGGCGACTGTGCCAATGATCCAAAGAGCTACACTCCTTGAAGAATCGTGGGTTGGTGGAGTGAAAACTTGATTTTACGGTCATCCGAACTCGGGGCTGTGCCACCCACGTATGATGTCAGGGAGTGTCTCCGGTCTCATCTACCAGCTCGAGGGTCCTGATTCGGATCCGATCCGCGGATGGTGATCTCCATTGAGTGCCACTGTAGACTTGCAAGGATCTGAAGCATCTGTGGAGGGACTTTCTTTCATAAGGCCGTGGCGAGAAACCATGTCCAACAAACCCACAACTCTGTTGTTACCTTTGGATCATTGTGACCCTTGTTATGCGAGACCAGCAAACTTGCTCACTATTCCCATGCGACTCTGATGTCTGCAAGTGAGGTTGCAGGGTTTGTGGTGTGTCCCCACCTCATGTTCAAGGTCGCTCGAGAGAAAGACGCCATATATGTCAATCCTTCCAGTGCTGGGAACCTGGTCAGCCAGGCCTCTCTCAAGGCAGCACAGTCGTAGTGCACTTTCTTGAGTTCTCCGATGGCCCTCAGCGGCCGGTGCAGGACATATCCAATTCAACATGTCTTGACTTCCTAAAGATCACCAGCCGGATCACAACGGCTCCGGATCTGCTTTGGCACTCGACACGGCTGGGAACTGCACCTGCACGGACTCTCCACCCCGCTCACCACGTAATTGCTGTTCTTAACGGTCTTCAGAGCCCATTGGGTGGAGGATGTCACTGCACTCGACCTGGAGACACCTCCTCAGCCAAGACACCACCCTTCTTCCCGCAGTTGACTGGCAGGGCAATGCTCAGGGCCTACCTGATGGAGTGCTGTGCCGAGTTCTCTTTTGGAGCTCTCCATCCGGGGGGATGCTTCTATATGCTTCTGGTAGGCTGAAATTACGGTCTTCAAACGGATAGGGGGTCAGCAAGGAGTCCTTAGAAGGTGTCTCTGTCTTTCATTGACTTTCGGCTCTACCTCCCTCTACTTCCCTCACTCACCCACCTGCGCCTTATGCCGCCCTAAAGCTTTCACTTTTCCCTTTATCCATTGCTTTCACCGCAACGGAAGGGCCTTCCGCCGCTTGGCTCCTAAGGCCTCGCAGGCGAGAATGTTGGACTCATGGTATAGGTTGTCACAAGTCTGTCGTGGCCGTGTCAAAAATGCCAAATGCTCTGGACCTCTGGACTCCATATGTAAAAAAAACAACATGTGGATTGCAGGGAAAAGTACTGTAAGTTGCTCCGTATGTAAAAACCATACAGAGCAAAACCGAGCCTTTAAACATTCTGCATCTGCGAACGAACAAATCACCCCCGCATGAGGTCGTCAAGAGGACTGGATCTTAGCGTCTCCTACGATCATGGGAAGCCTCAAAGCTATCCAACCGCCATGAAAGTCTGACCAGAAGTGTGGAAATTCCTGCAAGAGAAACATGCAACACACACACACACACTAGATTCACTAGATCACACCAAGACTCTGTTGTTGTCACAGCATCATGCCATGGAGATCCGCAGGAAGTTGCGGAACCTTGTCAGTTGCACAGATTGTGGTTTAAATCTAATACAGTATATAGGCTATAGGAGCATTTCAGACGGCGCATGTCAGCGCCCAAGAATACAACTCGTGATGCAAATGAATCAGAATGACATAATACTTGGGTCTTGACCACTTTCCCAGTCTTGTTCGATCTTTTTGCCCACACCTTCACAACACGGTCGCAAAACAAAAAAAAAGAGGACCTGTCGCAGCGCTCGGCTTGCGCGGCTGGCGCCTCGCCTTCACCAGCAAGAGCATGAACTCGTCGAGTTCCAAACCATTCTCCGCTTCTTCCAACTGCAGTTGTGAGCCGGTTGTGCGAGAGTCGGTGCGAGAGGGTGGACCAGCAAGTCGGATCTGTTTTGATGGACCTGTTTTGTGTGTTAAAGTTTGCAGCTGTTTTCTTCGGAAGCACTGCCATAATACCATAACACCTCAATCCATTTAGAGAAGTACTGACTCTGCCTAAAACCTATACAAACACAAATCAACTCGAGGCGACGACAAATCAAGGATTCTGCTAGCATACCAGAAGCACTGCCTCTTTCATGACGGTTTTCAAGCGATCTTCGCTGAACTTAATCTCTTTCTGCTGAAGAAATTCCTGCAAAGCATGGCGGAAGCAACATTTAAATATTTCCGCACTAAGATGCAATCTCTGGATCTGTCCTGCCAACGTGTGATAAATTGGGGTTGGGAATGTGGCTGCTGCGCACATCAGCAAGCAAAGATTGAACATATATATATATATATACACATATGTGTAACTATATACATATATGTATAAATATATATATATATATATATATATGTATAATTACACATGATGTACAATATATGATATATATATATATATCGTATATATAATATGTGCAGCACAAGTGCCATTGTCTCTAGTCATACCAAAAAGACCCTCCCTAGAGTTCACTAGACAGGTAACTAGGGGTACCGAACTCAGGGGGTACCCGTCTATCGCGCTCTAGATCAATTTGAGCTGTGTTGCGGTTGAGCATGGTTGAGCTATAATCCAAGGAGGGTAGCATTGGGTTTGCATACAATACAGTGCAGGTGTTTGCCAGCATCTCTGCTAATTAATCCAACAATTGACTTGAGCCCCAATAAGTTTCTTAGTGCCATGCAGCTATAAACAACGGCAGCCTTCACCCAGCGCATTTTCAGAGCCTTTACCAAGCACTCCACACTTGATCGCATACAATTCGGCATTGGAGTTCTCAAGGTGAAAGCAAGCGGGAAAGGAGGCACGTTCATTGTCGCTAGTGTTGATAGAAGGTTGCCCAACTTGAAGCAACCAATCGCTTTGGAGCCTTCCAACCATATTTTTGCATCTAAAACAAACAAGAAAAGAGCACAAATCAACGATATATAAGGAAGACAACGATTTACCCACATAACCATCATGAATCCATATATTTCTTCACTTTCCCTCCAACCCCTCAAAACCCAACTGGGGGAACCTCGAAACCGGTCCAGACCGGGTCCGCCCTTTAAAACCAAACCCGGCTAAGGCCGCGCCAGTCACCGTCGCTCCCGGCAGCGCCACCGTTCCTGGAGGTTGGCGGGATTCACTCGGCCATCCTTATCGGCGACGTCCTGGAAGAGCTGCGCGTTCCTGGGCTCCGCTGGGCGTTCCTTTCGTGGTGGAGAGTGAGGTGGTGAGGTGGTGAGGGGTCGCCCGGGCGCGTTGTTTTTGTCGTTTTCGGTTCTGAATCGGGTTGAAGGACAGGGCTTGGGATTTGAGATGCGTTCCTCTTTTAGGGGGGACGGTGCAAACGGTTTGTGGGTCCATTCTGTCTGGGAAAGAGTGAAGAGGTCCAAGAGTAACATCTTTGGACCCAACTGCATGTGGGCACACCCTGTCCATCCACCACCCCGGAACCCCAGTCCAGGAGTCCAAGCAAGAATCCCCGGATGACTCCTGGTACATTGACATCCGTACAAACAAGCACCAACAAAAAGGGTACCCTGGAACTAACATGGAAGTGGAACATGGCCCCTTGGAAGACCATGAAATCCTCTACAAACAGGGGGTTTTCCACTTCCATGTTAGTTCCAGAGAGAGTGCTGGGAACTAGTGTAAGTATGGATCCAGCGTCACGCAAGAGACCGAGATGAAGTGATGGAAAACTGTTCCTTTCATCCACATTGCATTGCTTCTCAGAATTGGTCCAAGGGAACATCTACAGGAAACCATGGCTTGAAAACATCCAAAACTATGGGTTGCAGAACTTCCCTTAAATCAATTCTGGGGTTGTTGGATCTGGTTTGCACCTGGGATGGAACACCTACGAACCTGGTCTTTCTAGTCGGTTGTTGGGCTACTGAGACAAACAAACATGTCGCCACACAGCTCCAAATGTTGACAGATGACCATGCAAATAGCTCTGCTACTGGGTTGCCTTAGCCCAGTTCCTCACCTATAGTAATTATTTGATTCCATAGACAGGCTGGAAAAGAATTGCGTCGTTTTGAGCGATGATGGAGCCATCCTACAAGGAAGCTTCAGTGTTCAAACACCAAGATCTGTGAGTCATAGTACTCCATTGAGGCTCCCCCACTTAATAGACCCAATGTTCTTCCAACTTCCAACTATATATGTAAAGCTCGAGTCTTGCGCCTTACATGTCAAATTCATCCAAAGCGTTCAAACCAACGACGAGGCCGGGTGGCTGTGCAAATTGCACTGGATCGAAATACGCTCGTGTGATGCGCGAGCTCTTCACCTTGCGTCCGTCGCGAGGTCTAAAAAAGCATCTGTATCACGGATATATCGTTAACGATGATGATATCTGATGTATCTGCGATAACATCACAACCAATCTATATCATCATATTAATCAATTTACACAGTGTATATTATATATATATATATGTGTTGTGTGATCTTCGATTTGTCAAAACAATCTATATCATAAAAGAAAAGTCCAATGTATATGATTTGATCAATCATTAACATCATTAACGATATACAGTCATGTACCCCATAGTGATGGATTATAAATCACGGACATTAGCAAAACGTCGGATCTTCAGGGCAAAACGTTGGTTAATTCCACAGGCTCCCGATGAACAATTACACAGAATTACTGTAATGATCGCAAGCCCCATGCCTGCCACAAGAACTATTGAAGGCTTGCCGCACGAAAGGTAAAAAGCCAAAACCACTTGGCTTGGTTGCTTTCACCAGTCGGAACCAAGATCCACTTACTATGGCCACGAACCCCCAACAAATGGAGCTTCAATTCTATACTTGCACGGGGAAAATGGAAGAAAATTCTAAACCTATTTTTCCGACCCCAAAACTGTCGAACATGCTTCTCCCTTTTGACCGCATCTCCGACCCTCCGGACACTGATGATCGGCCTTGGTCTTATTCTCTTTTTCGGAAAGGTTCTGCGCCTGAAAAGACGAAAGTCGACCGGACCAAGTACGCGCATGTTTGCGCGGACGGGGACCGGTTCTTGAAGTGATATGCCTCTGAGATGGTCCAACAAACACTCGCCCTGACTCAATGTCTGTGGTCCATGGTCATTGTCTACAGATCTTGACACCGTCATGCCTCCATGTCGAAGTTTAAGAGATCAGACTTCGTCCAGGACGAGATAGCTTACTATATATATATATATATTCTCTTCTCGTCTCTTCTTGTGGTGAGGAGTGTGGTCCTTTTCATTGGTCCTTGGAACTGCTTGTGAAGTCAAATCAGTGCAAACAACCAAAAGCCTCTGAGCTCCTGACACAATGACTACTGGCAACCACTACATGAGACCTGCATGGGCCTAATGATTGTCCTTTGACGAAAGGTGACCAACAACTAAGCATCAGCACCAATCGCAGGTACTCTCGGAAGCACACCTGCCAATGACACCGAAGTTGCAAGGCATGATAGGCATGACAGCATTTGTCAAGCACAGCATATGTTCTCTCCAAAACAAACAAACATATATATATATATATATATTATATATATATTTATAGTATATACAACAGCCACGTTCAATGCAGGTCCATACAAAACACCAGCCGTTTTGGAGCTTCCCTTCAGCGTCTTTCTTGAACACTATTGAACGCTCATGAGGTGGAAGAAATGTAAGGACACCCAGAATTCCCAGTGAACTAGTGAGGGCAAGCATGTTCACAAGTTATCACACGTTGAGAACCTGTATAGGTCTCACCATCGGGCAACACATTGCCAGGCCGGCCGATCCATCCTCATTCTCGTCGACCTGGCGAAGTCTCGAATGCTGCGTGGGCCCGTGCGGCCGTCATTCGCGCGATCGAACTGGTCGCACGAGGACCAAACGCCGGACAAGGTCGCGGACCGGTCAATGACCGGTCATTACTGAGAAAATGAAAAACGGTGCGAGCACCATGATGAATTACAACGGTCGAGGTTTATGATTTTGACCCTTAACAAGGTGACTGAAACAAGGAAACACAAAGTTATTCCTACCAAGTGTTGGTTATTGTGAACACTTCAACAAGCAACAAACCTTGCAACATATGTGTCTTTCTCTACAGAAACAGTGGTCTTCAGTCAACTTGCCCCGCCTCCTTCAGAACTGCACGGAGATCGCGCTCGGTCGAGCCCACTGTGCTCTGCTTCAGAACCGCCTGACCAGTTACGCGTGGAATACCAGCTGTATAGGTAGTATAGGTAATAGGTCAAGAAACATCGAAACGATCTTCAATCCATGTTTCAATCAGGGATCACTTGTCTACTACTTGTCAATCTTAAATTGGGAGTGACTATAATATAACTAACTTATAACAATTGATTTCAGTCATCAACAAAAACGCGCACGCAATGCTTGATCTACAATGTGAAATAAGTGAGCAATATTGAGCAATGCTAAATGTTGTATCTACGTTTCTTTCCGATAATTCCAGCCTTCCGTCTTACGGCGGGTCTTATGCAAGGCTTATGTCTTCCTGTTTTGTTCACGGCAATACATGTCTGTATGCTTTGTTTCCCTTGCAAGGTGCTCAATACGCTACTGGAATGGAGGCAATATGATATAACTGGGCTGGGCTGGCTGGGCTTCTTTCCAGTCTTCTTCGAGCCTTGCAAAGAAACGTTTATGTCATTGATGATGTTGTGCTTCTACTCTTCACTTTCGATGGTTTCCTGTATGTGCGGTGCAGGCCTTGAAATTGGGACCAGCTGTGATGGCAAGCTCACAGCACACTGTTTTGCTACACATCCTTTCGACAATCCTTGAGGAAACCGCACAAACACAATCCCAAAGAAAAATCATTAATGTGCATGTTCATTGGTCTTTTGCCAACCCTTTCTGACAATGAACAGGGGAATTTGAACGCTGCTCCAGTGAGTTTCGCATTGTGAACAGTGCGGCGAGTGCGGTTGATTTGTCAACTAACCTTTCTGTCGCAAACTCGGTTGCGCATTCCTTGACCAGGCGGACATGCATTCTCAAACCGGATATGTCGGAGATGTCATGACCGGTTGACTCGCATTGGTTCATGGTTTCTTCGCAGCGTCGACACCCGACACCTGGAGACTTCAAGTGCTGGGGACTTCTCGCTTAGTGCCACTTGAACGAACGGCGGTTGTTAGGCAGTGATGCTGTGGCAGTTGATGTCCGACGTTGACGGGTTTAAGCGGTTTAAAGAAGTGATGTTATTATATATATATATGAGGCTTCAACAAACTCATGGCATGTTGAATCCTGGAAAGTCTTTATATTGATTTCCTCTCCCAGGTTCTTGATGCAAAGAAGTACATGGTAGTTTCGAGAGTGTGCACGACGTGTCCACCAAGACCAAGCGCATGCGCCGCATGGATGGCACCTCTTCTGGACCTTTTTGACCGGCCGGAGTCGTCCACCCCAAAGGACGCAAAGAGATACACTCTGACCCACCGTAAAAACAAGTGGATGGCATAGGCCCCACAAAGACCACTCTACGAACAAAGGGTTAACTCAGTTAACTCCACGTTTCGTGGAACGTGAGTGGGAGTGTACCACTTCGCAGCCAATTCACCACATTCTCAACATCTCTCAATCTGAGACGGTCCCAGCTCTAAGCCCCTCAGAGTGTGCTGCTTTGGACCGTTTACCAGTGGCCCAAAGCTGGTTTTGCCCAACGTCATCCAGCCTTCATCTCTTGGAGGGAGATCACTCCATCACCATTCACGTCATACCTCACCCAGGTCTTCGTGCAGTATCCCATGGGTATCCCAACTCTATTTGGGCCGGACAAAATATATGGCCCGGAACTTGGATCTGAAGTGCCCAGATTAAAGAGATTTCGCTATAGGGTTTGTGTCTGGAGAATCGCTGCTAATCGATCCTCCTCAGGTCGGACCAACCATCCACCTTGCTCGATGCGCCCGCAGCGGGCCCGGCCCGGCCGACTTCGCCCAGTTGGGCCACGGTGGGTCGACCGGACGGGTGGAATCGTCCGAATGATCAACACCTCACCTGACCCAGGACCGCACCGTCGATCTGAATCAGGGTGCACAAGGCGGAACAGGACAGGTGCCAAGATGACAGGTTTGTGATGCAGAAAGTCACCAACACCAAATCGAACGATGTAGTCTATCACCTCAACCCCCCTACTTGTTTCCCACAAAGAGGTCTGACTCACATAATCCGCCTGACACTCAACGAACCCCCGCCAACCAAGCTGCTCGAGGAAGTTCCGAAGGTGCTTCTGAATGAACATGTTCTCGCCGGCGTGGCAATAGAGGTTCAAACGAATCAGATTCAGATTCAGAGATCTGATGAAATATGAGACCCTGTCAATTGGAAAAAACATAGTCCTTTCATGTCCTTTCTTCAAGGAGTACAGAGTGTATGTGCTTGCCATCGCAACTTTTCTTGCTGCCTTCCAATGTTCATTCACCGGGGGCGGCTGAGAAGTACACCGACCTACGAGCTACTACTGGCGTTGCAACGCAGGGCCTGCTCCGCAGGGCCGAGTGAAGCCTCAACCGCTGAGATCTCGGGCAGGGCAGGGGCGCCCCAGGAGGACCGAAACCACGAAAGAAACTGAGCCAAACCTAGCAGAAAACATGTTTTTTGGACCGCGAATTCGCCTTAACCTAGTGGAATGTCTCAACTCTGTGAAGGATTCGTGGTCTGGCCACGACGGTCTATAGTGGCCTCCAGTCCGGCCGCAAGGAGGGCGGCTTCACACCGAGATCTTGCTAATTGTGGGATTCAAGCGGTAAAAACTCTCGGGCCACAGCTTCAACTATAGTGGTAGAAGGGATCAAAGGACAAACTGTTCCCCCATTACCATTCGTTCAGAGGCTACTGGAGCTCAAGAATGTCAAAACATATCAATACTCCTGGACATCCTGGGCCGCAACTAATCCTCAACTTGACTGGGCTGCAGTTGAGTGTGGCACGCATGCACCCGCTTCAAAGTACGGGTTGGTGACCGGAAAAAAGACACTCTCCAACAAAATTAAACAAAATAATCAGAAAGATTTTGGTGCATGAGGCATGGTGTTGAGAATAATGAGAAAATATGAGAAAGATTGAGAAAGCATAATAGGAAACATCCACTACCAATTCAGAAAGTCTCTTGCCACCAGGGATGTTCGTTGGTCAATGACACACCTGGATTCTTAGTGTGCCAATGAGCAATTGCTTCTCCTACAACCATCTGGCCTTCGATTGGCTCGGAGATGGTTCTGGTCTGAATTCCAGGACAACCAGCAGCTCCCTTCCCTTGGGACTCTGGGAGAGCCAGTCATTGCCAAGTGTTCGACTTGGAAACACAAGAAATGGGGAGCTTGACCTAACGAAGGGGACTTCCACCACCCAGTCCTCAAATGGTTTTTGCCAAGGATCTTGCACCCACTGAGATCAAACATCATTTGATCTTGGTGTTTCAGCCATTTGCACGGCACCTTCGGGGTGGTGGAGAACCCCCCCTCTAGCTTGAGACGAAAGCTCCCAATGGATTGAGACCTCACATGAGGTCCAAAAGTCAGCCCTGCTCTGAGCAGCGCTGCCCAGCGGGCCCGTCAGGGGCGGAAGAGATGGCCGTGCTCAGCCCGTTTGGCCCGTCACACCCGGCTGGACCCCTTGTGCAAGCACCACGATATTGGATGTATTGGGTGTGTCCAGATATGGCAATTCAAAGCCTCAAAAAAAGGGATCGATGATCTCAAACGATGCTACAACACTCTCCTCTGAGATTCTCCCATCCTCGTCTGCTTTGGGTTCTCCAGCCTTGGAACACCCAACACCGACACCTCACAGGTACAGGTGTCACTCCGAACATTTCACCCGCCGCAAGCGTTGCCACTTCCCACGATACAGCGAATAGGTTCGCACTTCACCTGACAGGTCCGACAGCCTCACGGCTGTGGGCAAAAAAAACAAACAAATTGAAAGATGAGGTCTCAACAAAATAAGAATAATAAGAAGCCGGAGTAGGCCCTATTCCTTTTCAGTCCATCAATGAGGCAGGAAGGAGTTTGGAAGACACTTGGGAAACAACTGGTGTATTCGTGCTTCTTGGGTGAACTATTGGGTGGTGTATTTTCACCACCCAAATCTTCTCTTGTGTGAAATTGCCTCACACACACATCCGTTAAATGTCAAGCATAAACACTGTTTTTCTACCTTTTTAGCTATAGATCAACATCACCTTCCTAAATATATTGTGGTGCATTCCATGCTAGTCTGGATTCTAGATTCTAGATGGATATATGTCCATGCAAAATTTTTTGTTCAATGATTTTCATACTTGCCTTTTTCATCTACTCTCCAACAGCTGTCTTTGGGGCCCCTGATTTTTTTTTTTGGATACCTGGGGCCCCTTTGAGCCAGCGGGCAGTTCCCCATGTACTTGTCGCTGGTCAGGTGCTGCAAGAACTCCCCATGTGACACCTGCGAGCTCAACAGTCGAGCGCTGCGAGCAGCAAGCTGCACAACAGTCGAGCTACGTCAGACGTCAAGCCGTACGTCTGTAAGATACAGCAAAGCGGGAATCTTTGGTATCTACCCAAGAGAACATCCACTGTACCTTGAATTACAGAAACATGGCCGGATGATTTCAGCTTTTCCCGTGCCTTTTCCCATGCTCTTGGATCAAAACCATATCCTTCAAACACTACTCTCCACTCACCTGCTCCAAGGCACTAACAAAAGACTCTTCTCTGGTCGTCGTTCCAGAAAGCGGCTGAGGCGCTTGGCCCGATCCTGGATGACGACTCCGAGGAACATGGCGAACTCTCGTTTCAATGGAATGCGCGTTGAATGAGCGACGATGGGTGTGTTTTGCGTTCAAAGGCATGGAACCGAGATATCGAACTCTCTATGTTTATTTATGTGCATCATCTGTAGAACGTTCGCCCATATCAATTGTGCCACAATGGGGCGACGAACCCTTCTGACTTGTGGTACTGGCAGCATGCGCCGGACCGGCGCCGGATTCACGTGGAATCCGACAATCGATGAAGCAAGCGAGCAAACAAACAAACCCAAATTAAATGAACACAACTCGTCCAATTCTATTGTCACTGTCACTCCCCAACATGATCTTACTCATGCGAGTTCTCGCTCGCACTGCCTTTTGCTCTATCATTCAATGATTCAATGAAACTGTCAATCACCTTACAAATTAATTTCACGTGATTGAGCATAGCCCTGGTCCCCTGTGGGCTGGCCTTGATTTCGCTTTCGGGTTCCCAGCGCATGGTGTCACTCCGTTGTGGGCCTCGAATGATGGCCCCTGGACCGCTCGGTCGCGCTCTGCGTATGAGCTAGCTAGATGTAGCTGGTAATTCATCACATTCAATACAGTAATTCTTCAAAAAATGCCAAGGACATCCAAGGACCTTCTTTGATTTACACTTTCATGGACCAGCTGAGAAGCACCACTATTCGATTGTTTCAGAAGGCACCATACCATGCTTTACTTTGGATGCTTTCCATCAGCAAATGCTTGGAGATGCGCAGCAAATGAGAACTCTGAGCTCTGAAACAACACCAACAACTGTCGCGCCTGCAACCAACGACCAATCATAGCGCCCAAATTGCGACCTGAAAACAAACACAAAACACAGTGAAGCTGTTGCTGCGGTTGCCAGATCCCAACCTGCTGGAGATAACCTCACACCCGTAAAAAGCTTTGATGTTTGGGAGAGTGGAGCGCGTGAAGGGCCCACATTTAACACCTGCTGCGATGCTGATTGTTCATCTTGAGATGGCAAGAATCCTCGGCATCACCATGTATACAGATTGAGTTTCCCACGGTACCGGTTCAAAGGAGGTGCAGTCGGTACAGTCGTTCCACCAAAAAACATATCTTAATCTTTTGCACCAAACTTTGTCGAGTTCACCACGTCACGTTTGCAAAAACTGGGATGGGATGGGTTCCAAAACCTCATTTGCAAGACTAGGTACTGGCCTCAAAAGCCATCATTTGCTTTAGCAATCACCCTTGAATGAGATCCAATCATCCACCGGACCACAAGAAGCACTCTCTTGGTACAGGTCGCCCGCGACCTGCAGCTGTCAGAGATTCTTCGCAAAATCAGGGGCGGATTGCAGTCCAAGTGGCGCCAACTCGCAAGATAGTGCCTGCAGTCAAGTGCGTTCACTCGATACATGTTGGTCATGTGAGCCTGTTCGGGGCATGCTGCTTTTTCTGGGAAAGCATTCCACCAACTCAGCAACGTCTACCCAGTTCCTAGGAACTCATAATGACTAAAGTAATAACCAAAATAACATAACATAACATAACCCAAAACACCCATAGAATACCCAATAACAGAGTAATAACTATAACCAAAAAATACAACTCTGTTTGGATTGTTCTTCTGCTTGGTTTTATCTCGTAGTTGTTTGCCCAATCCGCAATACGACTCTTCGCCTCTTTGCTCTCGATGGGGCTGTTGGCCGGCCATCCGCCCACTTCGCGGGCCTACGAGCCGTTGGACCGATGCAAGTCTTGCGACCAAAACGTTTTGGTGGGGGCGGGGTGGGCTGGAAGAAGGCAGTAAACAAATGGGTTAACAAGCACTTGCTTGGAGGGTTTCTATTGACATACAAGCCCACATACTTACTTGACGGTGTGGGAAACAAGACTCTGTCCAAATCTCCTATGTATTCCTTGTGTGTGGAATGGTATCTGGTTTTGATGTTGCAAACCTTCTGACATCAACACTTGGTTGGGCAAACATGGTTAGTGTTGGAAGCCCCCGCCTTCAAGGCTGGCAGCCTCAGTTTCTTATCACCTTCATCGGTCGCAAAGCTTCGGACCCCCCAATGGCTCGGTCGCGTGCCTCCGGCGACACTACGGTGGGCCCTGCAAAGCCTGAGGAAGAGAGGACAACATGCACCAAACACACGAGACACGACAAACAAAAGGCAGTTTTGTGGCTGGTTGTAGGATGTTGTAGGCATATTCCATCCTTGAACATCTTCCTTTGAAATTACCCCACCGGTTGAAAGGCGTGATCTGGCTTTTCTTGGCCTTCAGCAAGGATCTATCCGAATGCTGTTTGAATACATCTCCAAGAAACACGTTGTGCTGTTCCGACTGTACTTGATGGAAAATACATGGAACAACTTTTGAGGCAACCAGGAAGCCAGTGGGGTCGCACTTGGATGCAGTTGTCGGCTTTGATTGTCTTCCCAATGGAACTTAGATCCGGAGGTGCAGGTTCTATGCTGTGAAAGAATCGGAACTTCGAGCTGTGCAGCTCTGTCGATCTCTGTAGGTTTTTTCCTGGGCAAGCTCGCATAATCAAACACAGTGTTGTTTATTGTTTTTTGTTCGTTGTTCTCCCAAAGTTCGCCCAATGTCCCTTCCTACTCACCCTAAGAAGCTAGGAACCGACCCCGGACCCACTGCATTTGGCCTCTAAAATTCTCCCTCCAAGACACCAACCCCAAACCCACCCGCCGACCCACGCCCACATAACCCCCGAGGAGCCGATGCCACGGGTGGTCTGCAGCGCTCGCAGCACAGCTGAGGACACGGCCACCTGCAGGTCCAACGCAATGACTGACGACCGGTCCAGTGGTCGATGACTACAAGAGGAAGGTCGGGCTCGGATGGGGGACTTGAAAGCTCAAATTGATCCACAGGGAGGTCCGGAAGTGAGGTGGAAAAAAAGGAGCCTGTCCATGATGGACATCTTTCATTTTGGAACTTACCTAGAATTAATTAGTGGTGGATTGCGGGTGGATGAGTTTGGATAGGTACTGATACCAGAATTGGTCAAAAGGTTCTAGTGACTATTAGATAGTGAGGATGAAACGAGTGCCAACCATGGCAATCACTCAGAGGCCGTGGGACAGCCGCAAAACCAATCAGGCCGTGGGCAACTCTGAGCTGATCCAAGTTCCAGAGCTCCAGCCGAATCGCTCTCGCCCAAACCCTGTCCAAGTACCTTTCTCAAAAAGGAAGTTGAAGCGGTTGAAGCCCCAGGGTGAGTTGCAAGAAGTTGCAAACCAGCAAACTGCGCAGTGCTGGTCAGCTGCTAAGTCCAAGCGCATGTCCTCAAGCGACCTTTTGAAGGACTCTGGGACCGTTGTCTTGTTGGACCGTTGAACTATCAGGTCACCGGGACGATGACAATAATTAGTAGATTGCAACAACTCCATACTCCATACATTAAAAGAACATGTTCTTAAAGTTCTGAACTGGCCATCCTGATATATCCTGATGCACTGGTCTCCACACTCCACACGAGGCAGCATATATATTCAGCAACCTAAAGCGTTTGGAAGCTGAGAGACTTCCAGCCTGGTGGTGTTAAGACATGTTAAGACCTATAAATCCAGTGAGTCACCAATAGGAACATCCATGATAGGGTGCTCCATTCAGCGCCCCTAAGGGACGCTGAATGAAGTGCTCCTCGTTCGCTCCTCTGTCCCCAAGAACTACTTCGATGGACGCACCTCGTGGCTCGACCGACCCGCAGGGGGTCCAAAAACACTCTGACGAACACATCACATGGAGAAACGGACCATAACGGACCTGTTTGTAACGAACATCGTCTTCACAGGGTCTATTGTCCAATTCGTGATGCGTTTGGCGAAGAGTGTGGACCTACCGTCTACCAAAGTCGGGCAGAGGGCTGTCTACTCATGTCAGTGGAGTCTCCAAAGTCGGTCCCACAGGCCTGGGGCTTCAACTTGGGCAGTAGCTTGTGCAGCGACTTGGCCTGGCACTCGCGCCACTGTGAACTCTGAGAGGTCCGGGTGGCCAAACTTGGCCTAAATCACTCCGGGCATGCTGTAAAAAAAACAGAAACAGGAGCAACATGAAGCAACACAACTTCTGGGCATGCTAAGCACAACTTCTGGGTATTTCCAGATATGTCCACATCGTCTTGCTTTGGATGCAACTCTTGTGTCAAAACGACCCATCCGCCTGACGCTGACCCCTCTTCGTCAGCTTGGTATCATGCTTGAGCCTCACAGGGTGCCATGCAGAAGGCTTTGTTTATTGCGCTGCTGTGGATCCTGCTGCGTTCTTGTGGGTCACCAGTAGAGACTTGGAAATACAGCTGGCATTCAGCCATCCGCAGTCACTGTTACACCAGTCAGGTATCTATCCACGTTGACCAAGTGGCTGGGGTTGACGTGGACTAACTGAAGCCAAGCGACAAGAACTTGTCATTGACATTGTGCTGTGCCTGGCATATCATCCAGGATGGCGACAAGACATCGAAGCAAGCCAAGTAACGGAGTGTGGAGCTGTCCATCAAATTACATAATATAGGATTGAGCAAGGATGTGTCCGATGTCCTGCAATGTCCAACTGGATCTGTCTAGAGTGTCTACAGGCTTCTCGGCTTCCTTCAGAGTGGACACCGCGTGGACACCGGCATCGCAAACGAAAAGAGCAAACTCCATACTGGGATTCTCTCTGAAGCTTTGGAACTAGCACATGGGTTGATAGATGGAGATCTGCCTCTGGTTTTGAAGTGTTGATATGTTGTGATGTCTGCAAACCAAAGTTGTCTCTCTCTCTCTCTCTCTCACGGGCAAGACATCAACATCAACATGCCAATGAAGAAAGAGTTGTTTTCCTGGTTCAGGACATACAATGACCAAGTTCCAAGCATGCGAGGACCCTTGCACCTCAAATTATGCATTTGTTTTGAAGGTCAAAGAACTCGAGTCATTACTCATTACCAATAAAGTGTTTTGACTCAAACAGGATCGCACAAGTCAAAACACTCATTAAGTTATTCACCATATGAGTACCCGCCAAAATATAAGTACGTCTTAACTTATATAAAAACAAACCACGAGAACCAGAAAAGGGGGTGTGGGTAAACCCTCCTCGAATCCAACCAACAGCCCCTCAAACAGGTGACAAAAACCCATCCGACAGTCCCACCATCATCCACAGCTGTTCCCGAGGACAGCATGTGGCTACAGCCTCAACTACCCCAAAGAACTTCTGCTGGAGCAGTTCCGCGCCGCGAACGTCGACGTCCTCCCGCGGAGAGGACGGTCTGCCGGCCTCGCCGTGGCGGATCACGTGGATCAACTTCGCCTGGTCCCAACTATAGTCAGAGAGGGCGATGGGAGAACGTGGGCAGTTTTGTTTTGTTTCCTCCGGTTTGGGGTGAGGAGAATGAGATCTTGGAGGTTGGCGAAAAAAGAGATCTCATTCATCAGGGGCTTTTAGACGAGATTCTTCCAGCTGAGATCTTGGAGATCTCTTTAGAATAAGATGTGAAGAGAAGGAAGTTGATGATCCAAAACTGAAAGTTGATTCATTCCTCTTCACATCTGCAAAACTGTTGATGCAAAGTGCCCAACTAATTCAGATCTTCTTCTGCTCCTGATCGCCTTAAACAGAACCAGTTATGTCAGTATTTTTGTGGCGCACCGGCACCTACTATTGAGATATACTAAGATGTCTTGAGGTCTGGTAGGTCAGGAAACCACGGATGCCAGTTACACTGTTGGTACACCACATGCGGTCCCGGTGGAATGCACTTGTCTTCCGAACTGGGGAGTGCGATCGCAGTCCCATCACGGTCCCATCATCAGCGTCAGGCCGCGCGAAAGCTGGAAGAAGCATGCAGTTCTGTCCTAGTGAGATATTTTTTTGAACAAATCCAGGAAGCCATGGCGAAGACAACGCGCGATCTCCAAGGGCACTCCATCAATAGTGATCTGCCCAATGGCTTCCGCACACACACAATCGTAAATCTTGAATTTGGACTGTAAATTCTTTATCCAAAAACATGTTACTTACAATGACATGTTCCACTCAAAACGTAAGGATTTGATGGGACAAATGGTGCGGGATGGATTGTCCATGTTCCACCACAGTACCAGGCCAGTATGCCGATGGCCTTTGGTGCGCGCTTACACGGCTTGAGTACCTTCAATCGCGCCATGGCAGATCCGATGATCCAGCAGGGTAAAGAAGAATTGAGATTCAAAAGCTTGCTGTGCAAGTGCAGGTGCAAAGTTGTGCTTTGACATAGCCTTGCAGTTGAGATGGCGTTCAGTTGAGATGGCTTGCAGTTGACTTGCCCATGGTGAGATGCCAATGGTTGCTGTTCAATGTCCTTCTCACTCAGCAAGCTTGAGGCAAAGGCAATTTCAAGTGGAATCGACGTAAGTAAAGCAAGCCTGTAGGACCCTGTTTCATACACCCACATCACATTGATAGTGTATATTGATCCATCCGCTGATGATGAAACAATGATGTGTGCAAGGAAGACTTCTTCGAGTTTGGCCGATCGTCCATCACAATGCTCTAATATATTCTATATCCCTGCCCAAACAGTGAACTCCCACACCCGCGTGCATCAACCAAAAGTCCCCAGTGTTCTCTATATAACAAAGACCTACCCCGCAGGTGCATACCCTCAGGCGGTGTTTGCGGTTTCCCAGCAATCGGTCAATGTGAATAACAATGGTTCAACATGCAAAGTTCTACAGCAACTCCTTTGCACTCCAACTACTTCTACTCCTGAAACAGCACATCCCGATTGCCGGTCCTCTGAGAGCTCAACACCTCAAATGTGAGCCAGTGTGACGACTGGCTTAGGGCGATTGGAATGATGTGAGCATTTTCACATGGAGACATCCCTCATGTTTGAGCTTATGTTTCCTTGGGTGGAAGAATGGGCAGTTTGTGCCCCTTGTTTGGATCTTTGATGCTGGTAGTTAGTAGGTGTCCTTATCTCTCTATGTGGCCTTCCTGCCTGTGTTTGTGCTGGTTGTTGGGCGTACATGAAAGGGAGGCTCAACGGGATGTTCTCAAGATCCTTCTCCTCTATATAGTAGGCTCAGGCTGCAGGAGGGCACCTCCCAAATTAAACAGAATGGTTGAGCCCAACACCTGGGGACGATTGGTCGTTTGAAACATTTGTTCATTGTTTGCATGTATAAGGTCCCTTTCGATTGGGGATGTATTGGGTCACCGCGCCTCGAGGCTTTGTGTGTTTGGGTTCTCTTCAAGCCACCGTTGGAGCCCGCGAGCAACATGTTGGAATCCGCAAACTGGTCTCATGAAGTACAGCACGTAGTGTTTTTGTGAAGAGCCATTGGTTACCTGGGCGACGTAGTGTTTTTGCTTCTGTTCATGTTCTACTACTTGACAATACTACTATACAGTAACCCTGCAAGGCTATTCTTCTCTACAAAGCCAGAGTGTTGGTATTTTGATTCCTTTTTTTGTGGAGTGAGTGGCAGGGGTCCACCATGGAGAACACAACGAGATCAGTAATTCGTTGCAAGTGTTGATGCTTTGCAGGATGTGTTTACCGCCACTTCCAGAATTCTGGCAGAAAAGATCAGAATAGATCAGAAAAACCATGTACGCATCAAAGACATGCACACACCAAACATCCAAAGCGGTGAAAGATGGTGAAAGTTGGGTCAGGAACATGCGAAAAGAGGTCAGCCCCACGGAAACGGTTTGTTGCAATGCGGAAATCGCCGCCCTATCTGAATCTAATTTTGGGTCACTGTATAGTCCTATTTATATCATATACATACAATTATACAATATACACAATCATTCCAAGGCGCTTTGGAGACTTGCCTCTTCTTTCTCCTTGCTGCATAGTCGACGAGAGTCTCAGCACACTTATGTACGCAACAGATTCCCACGTTTGGATTTACAGTGTCTGTACCAGTGTCTATAGGGCACAAACTAGAACATGTGTGTTTCCAGTGTGCAGTGCTCTCATTTACCAGTGCAGCAGGTGGCTCAAAGCGATGCACACGTGGCATACATAATGTAGATTCTTGATCAATGTCCTCCAACCTAATAGCGATGGCCTCCCACCTAGTAGCGATGGCCTCCAACCTAATAGTGCTGCAAAACATGGATGGTGAAATATAATCAGCTGCATTGCACACAGGGGTCACCAAATTCCCATCATGGGGTCACGAGCCTGACCTTTTGGTCATCGCTATACCACTGTGTATTGGTGGAACGTGCTCTGCACGAAGGTGGAACGTGCTTGAGGCTTATTACCAGGACCCTTTTTGCTCCCCAACAGGAAACGGCCCATGAGACATTTGGGGTGACTTCGCCTGAAAAAGCTGGACACCGTGGCCCTACATCTTCAAACACGCCCCCACGTCACAACAATTAAATGTGTATATCAAAAAAATATATTGGATTTTGAGTAGCCTTTAAAACTAAAAAAAAAGGTGAAACTTTGAAGTTACACTTAAAACTTAAAACTACTATCATGATCTTCTCCAACATGTATGCATGCAGTGCATGCAGGGGGAGTATTGGGAAAAAGTACCTTGAGATGAGTCAGTAGCCCTTCTGCTGAAGTATCATATTGCTTCATGATTCATGTAGAATACTGCAAACCAATGAGAGAACCTCAGACCCTTCGATCCTGGAACAACTACTGTAGTGCATCTGGGTCATGAATAAAGCTACTAATTAAGTATATCCTATTTTCTAGATGTCTCATCTTATATAATATACATGTTCCACAATAACACTTCATCATTAATCTTGAACAGCAGCTCGCCAAACAAGCTTATCTTCAGCTCCATCATCCTGTAAACCAATGTCCGAGCTGCTGCACGCACTGAATGGCTCTTGGAGTCCAGCTTCAAATTGGCCGTGGTCGTCCTGTGAGAAACATCAAGTGAGAAGGCAACCAACCAAACCTTTCACTTTACACTGTTGCACTTTACATACACACAGGCTATCCTCTACTTTGCGCTTGACATTCTCTGCGCACCTTTCTTGTGTATCCTCGGGAAGCAAGTAGCCCTAGCTGTGCTGCTGCTGCCAGACAACTGACTAAGCAAATCCGCAAACACCACACCGAAGCACCCTGCCGCAAGTGTGAATGTCTACAGGAACATCTACATGAATAGAATAAAGAGAAGCGTTGGCCTTGGATTTTGTTCTATTGAACGGTCGTGAATACCAAAGGCAAATGCTCTGGGAACATTTTGCGTATATCCTACCACTGAAGAAACATTGCTGTCAGGTCCTTGTTCTCTCTGCCATTGCTCAAAGAGGCTCACCGGCTACAACACGGGCAGCTGAGGGTCATGTGAAGCAGTGAAGCACTGTAAGGGAGCTGTCATTGCTTCGTTGTTGCCCTTCATGACCTCTTGCTCAGAATACAGAACGAACGATTGCATCAGCATCATATCTCAACCAGCTGTCATTTCTGAGGAGCCTTGCTGTCTCCCAACCTCTCAATGTGTGGATTTAACTGCATGTCATCTCCACTCAGGGTCTTGCATTGGTCACTATAGTTCTATATAGTTATTTAAGCTGGAGTTGAGCCAGTGATGTTCATGCGCATCCAAAGTATCATATCTGCAGGACCTGCGGGAGCTGGAGCTTACGATGTAACAGGAGGATCCTCCAACACATGCTAATGGGATTTTATGAGGTGGACACAACACACACCTATATATATATAAGCATAATATAAGCATATATAAGCATATAAGATCTTAATGCGTTCATGTCAAGAACATAATGTTCATTTCAAGAACGAACATGCCCTTGAAACAGAATAAACACATGGGACCCTTTCTGCTGTCGGTCACTGTGTATATACAACCCATGTCAGGCAAGATACTCCATGACAACAAATATCACCCATCACCCGATGGCCCGACCATGAAAAAACGCATTGTAGCGCAGGAAAGACATCTCCTGTGGGAGTGTGGATGATTCTTGGATTTTTCCTCGCAGTTGGAATAACTACACCAGGACCTGTGGCGCACAAGAACCCTTTCAGTGATCCCGACCCAAACACCATCATGGTTCCCAAAGCTATTTTGCAATGATTGCTTTAAAGTAGATGCAACTGTCGTTGACCATGCGGTCATGTGCGGAAACAAAGCAAGATTCCAAACTCACCCACATGCTGCCCCGATTGAATCCGATTGAAGATCAAAGAAAACCAACCGGGAAAAAAAGAAAAGAAACACAGTTGAAAAAGCGGCTGCTGTGCTCAATTCATTTGTGCCAAAGCATTAACATGTCTGCGTGTGGCAACTTTCAACTGCGCATGTCTAAGCAGTGCTCAGTGGGAGCTGATGATCTGCGCCTGCACACTCTCTGCTTCGATTCCGAGAACTCGAAGCAACAAACGAGAAGTCTATCCACGGATTGGGCTTTGTCAACTTCAATGGGTTAGTTTCTAGCACCGTCTATGGGAAGGAGAATTGTCACGATGGTTGTCTCAGTCGTAGGGACTTGGCACCACAAACAGTATCTAGTATGCAGTGCTGGGCCTAGTGACTAGCATGAAACCAAATCAAAGTTTTTAGTCATCCTTCACCTTGATGATTCACTGATGCATGACAAAACAGGATTGACTGGGGTGCTGATTTTTGTTTGATCACCATGGGACCTATAAACTTGGATGACCTCTACTTAGAGTCAAGTCTCAACAGCTATCAACTACTGGCAACCAACCTGAACCATTTTCATACTGGATTCCAGTTGTCACACATGCAACAACGTTGTTAAGTACCCTCAGTGCATTTTCCAGGCCAAAAAGAATCGTGACCTGGCACTTCTTGATACAACAACCTTCTACGATATAACCTTGCTCATCACGGACAACTAGAGAGACGAATCAGTTGGATCCCACGAGAGACGATCAACATCTTTGGGTGACATACACCACCAGCACCAGCACCAGCACCACTACCACCCGCCAACCCGAGAGTCGATTCAGTGGAATGGTGACTTTGGTGGACTCTTCGGGGTTGAAAAAAAGGGGGCATAGATGTTCAGACCAATCAGAAATATGGCATCTGCACAAATGTATATAAATGTAATTATATGTATAAACCTCAGAATCATGAATATCAGTGGGTACACCCCCCCAAAAAAGGACCGGACACATTCATAAAAATCATGAACAACATTAAGGAC